CTTATAAATGCATAAGTATATACACAGATAAAAAGAATTAGAAAGGGATAGACACAGAATATTCAGGCAAGAGGCCTACAGCTGAGCAAATCTCTCCCTCTCCAAAGCCCAGCACTGGAAGCAGAAGAGCCAGCTGCGGAAGACAGAGGTGCCTCCAGGCAAAGCGGGAGACCCCAAGAGCCAAGCGAGTCTAGTACCATTCAAACACTTCCCACGTTAGTCCCTGCACCTTCAATTCTCACTGCACACCTACATTCCCATTTAACTAACACACGATGAAAGCTGAAATACATGTAGGTGAAGTTCTATGCCAGCCAGGGACAGACAGAACCCTAACACAGGGAAGACTTCTCAAATCTGCAGTCATCCAGTCTGCTGGACTTCCCTGTGGCAAGGTGTCTCAGCTTGGCAACCCCTCACGTTGCAGTGCAGTCCCTGAAGTCTTTTTACCCAAACTCAGCTGGTGGGCATGTAGTGAGGTAACTCTCATACTAAAGGTACCAAAATGCCCCACACACCTGACAATTTATAAGATGGCAAGCAAGTCTGGACTCAAAACTGGCTGCTTACTGACCACCTTAAGCTGGGCCCTGGCTCAGCCAAGGGTAGAATGCCAGTGGGCTCCCAGAAGACAGTTCTGGGTCTCCCAAGAATAGACAAAACTGCTTAGCAGTGGCTCGGGGATCAGGAGGTACAGCTTGCTCCCCTGTACACCTACTTTTATTCATGCAACACACCTCTCTGACCGTGACCGTGCAGTTAAGGCCCAAGATCAAGCTAAAGGGGGAATTGCAACACTGGCAGGCTGTGTACTGCTAGGGGTTGGCCAGGGAGGCGGGTGTATTAGCCTGTGAGCTGCCATAACACCACACCAGACTGTTCTCTCAGTTCAGGAAGCTCTAAACTCTAACGCTGGTTTCTAGTGAGGTCTCTCTTCTGGTCTGACAACAGCTACCCTCCGTGGTCTTTTCTGTGTGATCTCCTTCTCTTAAGGACGCACGTCCTTTCTGATCAAAGCCCCAACTTCAAAACCTTATCCACCCTTAATTTCCTCCTGAAAGGCCCTTCTTCAGCATAGAAATTTTGGGACTCAGAACTCAGTTCCTCATGGTCAGGGAAGGCTTCACAAAGGCAAACTTCAGGTTCAGTCACCAGCGAGCAGGCAGAGGCACACGGGGGAGTGGTGAGGGCTGGGAGCCGCTAGTCCTCAGTGAACAATCTTCTTTCAAGGCTGCTGCAGATGGGCTTTACCCAGGCGTGTAACGGGAAGCTTTTACAGCCAGCAGCTCTAGCTACTTACGCACATGGGCTGCGGGTTGTCTAGGATCACATGAGGCTTATCGCCTGCAGTTCACTGACAATATCTGAGTGCTCCACCTAGAGCCAGGCCCCATGAGGAAGGAATGTCCATGCATCCACCCACCTTCCTGACAACAGCTCCATTGGTGAAGCACTCAGCTTCTGCGTGACAGCTCCAGCTCCAAGAGTAAAACCATTTGGTCAGGCAACAAATACTTTAAGATATACTTTAAAGAAAAAAAAAATCACTTGCGGGAGGAGACACGAGAGGCTTTGAAGGGAGCTTGCATTTCTTAATGAGCTGCTCTCTCACCTGAGCTCTACATGTGTCCTGTGCAGTTTTCTGAAAGGATTTAGAAGAGCAAACTCCCCGATTTCTTCAGATCTGAAAGCTCTGCTTTTAGTGGTCACAGAAGTACTCACTTTGATAATTCATCAAGTTATACCACAATCACCTACATAAGTTTTTTGCACCACCAGTTTCTTCCTCCCTAAACTGCTACTGTGAGGCACATTTCCTTTGCTACAGCACCACCTGGTGGAATATTAATAACACTACTTCGTCCCATAGACAACTTTCAATTTCAAGTATACTGAAGTTTGCACCTGTGTAGGAACACAGAAGCTGCTCCTGGCTTCAGACTGGCCATTTGGGGAGTGAACCAGCAGATCGAAGTTCCATCTCTCCCTCTAACTCTGCCTTTCAAATAAATAAATCTTTAAATACATATATATATATATATTTTTAAATATATATATATGATTAAGACAGAAGTCCGTGTAGTCCTCAGCCCCAAATAACCATAGGCTCAGTATGTACATATTCACCAACCTGACTGAATATATTTGGGGAAAAAAAAAAATCATGTCACATGACTAGTACATGCATTAGGCATGGTAAACTTAAAGATTACTTAAAGCAGAGAGGACCGGTGGTGTGGCACATCGGGTTAAAGCCCCAGCAACCCATATGCTTCTCTTCCGATCCAGCTGTTATGGCATGGGAAGGCAACAGAATATGACCCAAGTCCTTGGGCCCCTGCACCTGCGTGGGAGACCCAGAAGAAGCTCTTGGCTCCTGCTGTCATGGCCAAGTGGGGAGTGAACCAGTGGATGGAAGACCTTTCTCTGCCTCTCCTTCTTTCCCTGTGTAACTCTTTCAAATAAATAAAATTTTTTAAAGATTTATTATTTTCTTGAAAGTCAGAGTTACACAAAGAGAGGTGAGGCAGAGAGAAAGAAAAGAGGTCTTCCATCTGCTGGTTCACTCCCCAGATGGCTGCAATGACCAGAGCTGAGCAGATTCGAAACCAGGAGCCAAGAGCTTCTTCCGGTTCTCCCATAGTAGAGCCGGATTGCAAGAGGAGCAGCCTGGACTAAAACCAGCGCCCATATGGGATGTCGGCAATGCAGGCAGCGGCTTTACCCGCTATGCCACAGCACTAGCCCCTAAATAAATTCTAAAAAAATAAAGCAGATGGAGGATGTGTTGTGATCATAGGCAAGCAGCACCCTTTCAGGAAGGGAGACCACCACCTGCAAGACGCTAAGTTCTGGAGACCTACCGCATATAACGTGAACATATTTATTAACACTATGCAAAGTGCACATTTAAAATGCTTAGGACGATGAATTTTCTTTTTTTAAAGATTTGCAAGTCAGAGTCACACAGAGTGGAGGGGGGCAGTGGCGGTAAGGTCTTCCGACGGTTCACTCCCCACTGGGCCACAACGGCCGGAGCTGTGCCAATCCAAAGCCAGGAGCCAGGAGCCTCCTCCCGGTCCCCAACGGGGTGCAGGGGCCCAAGGATCTGGGCCATCCTCTACTGTTTCCCCAGGCCACAGCAGAGAGCCAGATTGCAAGTGGAGCAGCCGTGTTCGAACCGGCACCCATATGGGATGCCGGTGCTTCAAGCTAGGGAATTAACCCACTGCGCCACAGCACCGGCCCAAAGATGGTGAATTATTATTTAACTGAAAGGCAGAGTGAGAGAGACAGAGGGTCCATTCCCCAGATGGCTGCAATGGCTGGAGCCATGCCCACCATGAGCCAGGAGCCTCCTTCTGGTCTCCCATGCAGGTACAAGGTCCCAAGCACTTGGGCCATCTTCTACTGCTTTCCCAGGCCATAGCAGAAAGCTGGACCAGAAGTGGAGCAGCCAGGACATGAACTGGTGCCCACATGGGATGCCAGCATTGCAGGCAGCGGCTCACTAGGATGGTGAATTTTATGCTTACAGTAGTTAACAGGGTGTAAGCACAGGTAACCCAGCGCGCCCAACATCCTAATGGTGGGAAGCCCCCTCCCCGCGAGGGGTCAGAATCTGGCTAATCATTAGTGTTACAGGAGTTTCAAACCAACCTGTTCCCTTTGAAGTTCTGCCTGAATAAACCACTCAATCTTTTGTAAAATAGACACTGGTATGAAAGAAAAAAAAAAAAACTTCAAAATGCCATGACAGGTAAACTGTTCTCCACAGAACAATGGCAAACAGCAGGACTTAGGAATGTGGATCCTGAAAACGGCTTTATACCACATGGCCAGATTTACTGCAGAGCTTGAAGCTCAGTGCCAAAAGCAAATCCCCTTATGGTTAGATACTGGACTACATGAATCTGTAAAGGACCCTCGGAGCACATGACACACACATACCACTGTAGTTACTTGAAGCAGTCCTCTTCTAAACCCATCCTCCTGACCCACATGACATCCACAATGCTGCTGGCTAAGCAGCCTTCACTGTCGTGGGATTTTCCACCCCACAGGATTATCTCTGCCGAGCTCGGCTCGGGTCCTTCCATTCTGGCTCTTGCAAAAACAATGGTAAAGCTAACAGAGTAAGGCATGCCCCCACAGGCCAACGAGACCCTCACCCCTCAGGCAGAAGATGGACAGTCAGTCAGGCTTTGCGTCTTTGTACAAGATTTTATTAAAGATCTTTATAAAGTAACATCCAGACTCCATACAGCTGCCAGGGAGACCCTGTAACCAAATAAAGAACAGTAAGAGAAACTTACATCTGAGTATTAGGTTCTTTCATTTACCAAGTCGGCACACACCCCCTCCAGGGACTGCGCGAAAGTTAGTCACAAAATAAAGACCAACTGAAAACAAACAAAAGCCCCAAATGTGCTGGGCGTGGGAGGCTCAGAGCTACCACTCAGAGGGACTACAAAAGGACAGAAAACCTAATTAATACCAAGAATGCCTTCAAAACCTTGAGCAACCCAGTAGTCAAAACAGAAATTTCTGAGAGGCAAACACACAACCCAACAGAATCACGAGCTAAATGGGCCCAGCTTTCCAACCGATATTCTCCCAGATGAAGCAAATATAATCCAACCATTATTCATCCAGTAAGGGAGAAGAAAAAGGAAACAGGACCCCCTCCTGCCCTGGGTGGTCCCTGCAGACATACCTGTTACGCTGTGGGGACTGGCTGGGGCATGGCAGGCGGCTCTGGCTTCCCACCCTTCTGCTCCGAGATGGGGGTGGTGGGCAGGATCTCATCTTTGGGTTCCACAATGCTCACGTGGTCGGGCAGGGGCTTCTTGGGGCCAATCTTACCACTTGGGTCCCAGGGCAGCATGATCTTCACCTTGATGCCCAGCACACCTAGGAAACCCCAGAGTTAGAACCTAGTAGGGTTCACCAGCCCCTACCACAACAGCAAGAGTTACCCAAGAACCTCTGATCTGGTCCCTTCTCAGACAAATGCCTCTAAATCAATCAATGAACAGGACACTTCTGCCCAAGGAACCCACGCACAGCACCACAGAACGTGGTACTGGCACAGCCCGAGGGCAGGACGTGACCTTTCTGACTCGTCATCGTGTCATCACCGAAGGGTACACAACTGACCTGCCTGATCAGCTGTCAATGCCTATGCAGGAAATCAATAAATCCCAGCTACTTCCAAAATGAATTTCCTCAAACCCTGGGGCACCCATGGAATGACACCTACCCACCAACGCCCACCTACACGCATTCCCAGTGGCTCACCCTGTCTGAGCAGCACATGGCGCACAGCGGTGTCAACATAGTAGTTAACAGGGTCCCCACTGTGGATCATCAGGCCGTCCACAAACTTCATGGACTTAGCCCTCTGTCCTCGCAGCTTCCCAGACACCACAACCTCGCAGCCCTTAGCTCCGCTCTCCATGATGAACCGCAGCACACCATAGCAGGCCCTTTGGAAGAACAGGGAGACATATTTGGGTTACTACTGAAGCCGGAACCTATCAACCCACTGCACCAAGTTAAAAACCAAAGATTTAGGGCAGCGTTGTGGCGCAGTGGGTTAAAGCGCTGGCCTGAAGCACCAGCATCCCGTATGGGTGCCAGTTCTAGTCCCATCTGCTCTTCAAACAGCACTTCTCGCCTCTTTCTATCACATTTTATCCTTGGGAAATTAAAGGCAAGCTCCTATTCCGAGTGCTTTCCAACCATGACTACAAATCAGTTAACTCAGAAAACTTAACCCACAGGGGCCAGTGCTGTGGCACAGCGGGTAAAGCCTTTAACACCCACATCACATGTGGGCACCAGTCTCGGCTGCTCCACTAATGATCCAGCTCCCTGCTAATGCACCTGGGAAAGTAGCGGATGACAGCCCAAGTGCTTGGGCCCCTGTACCCACGTGGCAGACTGGGAGGAAAATCCTAGCTCCTGATTTTGGTCTGGCCCAGCCCTGAGGGGAGTGAACCAGAGGATAGAAGACCTCTCTCTCTCTGTAACTCTGCCTAATATATCTTTTAACAAACTAAAAACCTCTTGATAGCCCTCCTCCAGGCCAATTACAGCAGCAATCTCAAGTGGTGAGCCCCAGACAGATTATTCTAATATGTAACCCAGGGTGCCCAAGACGCCCACAATGATGGGATCTGGCCCTGCTAAGGCAGCTGCAGTCAATCTAGAGCAGGCTGATTTTTAAGCTGGTAATTATGTATGGCCTGTGAAATATTATCTGCTCCCCTTCTTTCCAGCTCCCTGCTAATAATGTGCCTGGGAAAGGAGCAGAAGATGGCCCAAGTGCTTGGGCCCATCACCCAACGTGGGAGACCCAGACTGAGCTCCAGGCTTCTCGCCTAGCACCAGCTGTTGAAGCCATCTGGGAAGTGAACCAAGGGAGGGAAGATCTGTCTCTCCCCGTTATTATGTCTTTCAAATGTTCAGAGAAGTTCAGTACCTTGCTTAGTTTAAGAACTTCCATTCCCCTGCCAAACAGCCCCCACCCTGACCCCAGGGCTCTGTGCTAAGTACTGACTAAATTCCAAACAGCCAGGCAAGGCCTTCCAACCACTTCACAAACTTATCTACACGGAAACCTCACCAGCAAGCCCAGCTTTGGCGGCAACCTAACTTCACGCCTCTCATACCCCGTGCCACCTGTCACCTTACTATCTACGCATAGCCCACCACATTAAGTATCTGGATTTTAAGCTCTCTCATCAGGACTGCTTTCGCGTTTATGGTGCCAATAAGAGTGAAAATCTCAACCGATCAAGTGTCTTCTATCTTGTTCTGACTTTCGGGGCACCCCACAAATTACCAGTAACAGGCTGACTTGCCCACCTCCCAGAAGACACTTAAATCTCATCCAGAGACCAAGGAGAATTGGTCCCCTCCCTGAGCACCTGTTTCTGCTCTCTTCCCAAGCACCTAGAACACCTGTCCACCTTTTCTCATTTTTCTTCTTCAGTCTTCTTAGCCTGCAGCCAGCAAAGGCATGGATTAACAGTACTGTGTTGCTGGAACCCTCAGAGGCTAGCAGAAGCTGTCACTCAACACAAGTTCATTTGTGAAACCAGCAAAGAGCACACACCACATTCTGATGCACACAGAAGGGCATGACCACCAGGCGGCACGACACTTACCTGCGTACAGCAAGCCCTCCTAGGAGTTTGTAACGCAGAGACTCTGCCTGGGCAATGGCACATAGGCCCCTCGTGGCCACCTTTTCAGCGTAAAGCTTTAAAGGAAGCAAAGCACACCCTGTTACCTTCACCCTTGTTTTCAATTCAAAGTCAGCACACTCATTTCTTTCCCCACACCATCACAGGAGGGTACCTCAAAGGGTTTGTGGAAAACGGAACTCAAAGCTAAGTTTATTTCAGTGCAATGTACGTATGACCAAGTCTTCAAAGAGCTCAGGAACAAGAATCATGAAAAAAGCCAGATTTCAAATTTTGGAGGGGCATTAAAATAAGTATCTCTTAATTCCATTCTTCCATAAACCTTTTACATTTTATCACAATAGTATCCCTCAAGTCCAAAAGCACTCCTGCCCACACCCAGGACAGACACAAGCAGACCAAGCCTCACTGCCCCACCTCTGGCTCCTCCTACAGCTACACCAGGGAGACCAATGGCACAGTGCATCCACTTTGTGTCACCTGCACATTCAGGTGGTGTGTAACATCATCATCCACCAGAAATGAGCACACAGGGCTGTAAAACCAAACCCACTGCCCACTGAGAACCTCAACCAATGCCAATCCCACCATAACACTCACTGAGCCTGAGCAGGTCTCCATGGTGAATAAGGGATTTCAGAAGCACCACTCTAAAGAGCCATTGACGTCCACTTAACCTCTGGCATGAGCCAGACCACTCACCTCTACGCTGCCCTCTGGGAAGCCAAACCTCTTCTGAACGACGGCAGTCAGTTCCCGGATTCGCCGGCCTTTCTCACCGAGCACATTCTGTGTCCTGGGCAAGAAAGAGACCACTGATGACGCGCCCAAGATCCTACATGAACTGTGAATTGTGCCTATTATGCATGGTACTAAAGCCCCACTTATCTGCCACAACACAAATACAAATTCTACATGACAGAAATTATTGTTCAATTTTTAAAATGCCGCTTTAAACAATCACATTCACTAACGCCAAATTCACTTGACCGTACCCTTAAAATTTATACAGAGTGATTTCCTTAGTGTATACAACTAGAGATCACTACCCTCCAGTCAAGTGATACTTTACCTGGTGGCTAAAATAATGATTTCTGTCCTGGTTGGTGTAACTCGGACCTCAACTCCAGAGTAGCCATCTTCAGCCAGCTCCCGGGTGAGAAACTCGTTCAGCTCAGCTTTGAAGATGCCGTCAGCAACAAACTAACCAAAAAAGCAAGTTCAGAATTAAAGGAGGGGCTGGCTCACTTCCCTCTGGACCAGTCTAGTCTATCAGACGCCAAGACATCCTTCATCAGAACTCAGTACCTGTGCCAACAGGGATGCTGCAACCCTTCTCAGACAAATGCCTCTTGGTCATCTTGGGGCTGTTGCTTCCACCAGGGCCCTTTCCAGGGTGCCACAGAACGCAGCACGGCGGAAGACCCCCGGGGAGAGCCAGCACCCCCGGTCAGACTCGTCATCACCTCTTCACCGAAGGGCCTCAGATCCTCCACTTCGCGCAGCAGGCACACTGTTCTACCTTGTCACAGGAGCAGGCGTGGGTCAGAGCGGTCTCACCTGCACCCAGCCAGGCACCCTGCCTTACCTTGTGTACCTGTGGGCTTACAGACAGCGGAGCTGCCAACCCTAGCTGCTGCGGAATTTTAACAACGATGTACACACGCAGAATGGCAAACTATGGATGCCTAAAGCTAGCGATTTTGACACGACATGACTTCGAAGTTAAACCCGAGGGAGCTTCCTGCCCCAACGGGACAAGTGAGACCTGTACTGTCGGAAGGCGGCACCCAGGCACCCGTACGGCGGGCAAGACGACGCTGCTCTCTGCCCTTCCCAAAGCCATGGGTCAAGAAGCGAGAGAAACGGCTCACGCCCCTCAAACTACTACACAGTCACTAGATTTGTTGACCAAGACAGGCTCCCCGGAACAGGTGGGGCGCCCCAGGCTCACCGCTGCACTCTTTCCAGCCGGCCACCCAGCGGCCGCCCGCCTCGGGCCTCGCATTCAATCCGCCGCCATCCGCGGCCCGCGGCCACACCACGCACTCTATGCCACTGCCCAAGGACGGGAATGGAGCTCGGCGTCTCGCGGAGGCGACCCGAGAAGTCCCCGACCCGCGCAGCACCGCAGTTCCCTAGATCCCAGCTCCAGATGCTCACCTTCCTCTTCTTAGAAATCTGCACCGCCATCTTGCCGCCGCGCGCAGCCGAAAGGAAAGGAAGTGGCTCGCGGACGGAAATGGGTATAAACGGCTCGGCGCGACGTCGAAAAGCGGCGCGACGTCGACGCCTGCGGGCGCTCATGGGAAATGTAGTTTTAATGCAAAAAGGCCGCAAAGGAGCGAGAAGAGCGAAGGAGTTACCTGTAGTAAGAAACAGGAACTGCAAGGGGACTTAGAGTCCCTTTCTCTAGTTTTGAAAAGGACGGAGAGGCTCAGAGTTTCAGCAAGAGTTTAGGCAGCGTGGAACCCTGGTTCCCACACTTTCAGGTCGATACTAACGAGTATCTACGAGAGCTCCCATTCTCCCCAGTCTCTGTCCATTTCCTCCCTTCCCAATGATAATACCTACTACGTGTTAACGTCCTAGGAACTATTCTGTGCTCTTTATGCACCACTTGCATAAAAGCTGTTACAACCTATAGCAGACTCAGGGTTCTGGCTCACGTGCGCACAATTCTACATTTAACTTCGGCACTAAAATAACTCTGATGCAAATGACTGGTCCTTTCATCATGAGATTATAATAAAGTGGAGTTCCGTGGGAGCTAAGCAGAGGGCCAGGGAAGGGAAAAGAAGTGGATGGGGGCAGGCATTTTAGCCTAGACCCTAAGTCGTACACATCCCACATGGGAGTGGCTCGATTTGATACCTGGCTCCAGGTTCCTGCTGATGAAGACTCTGGGAGGCAGCAGCCATGGTTCCAATGACTGGTTCCGTCCACCCACCTGGGAGAGCCGGATTGAGTCCCCAGCTCCTGGCTTTGGCAGGCCCAGGCATTTGGAGAATGAACTGGTGGATAGGAGCCCTCTCAGTGTCTGTCTGTCTGTCTCTCTCTCTCTCTCTGAGAGACAAACACACTCATAAAGAAAAAGAGGATGAACCAAAGACACAGCTGGGACCCCGACATGTCTTAATGATGGATTGAGGTTGAGGGGGGAAATTGAGGTGGTGCCTGGTTTCTGGCTTCCACGGTGGCCGCCTCGTGACAGCCCTCACTGAGACAAGGAGCTGGAGAGCAGGGTTCTTCCTCATCGGCTCCATGGTCTGCTGAACGCGGCCCTGGTCAGTCCCCCCGCCTGACTTCTCTAGGGACATGGGCAAGCAGCAGGGCACCCGCCCGTGAGTGCAGGGTCAGAGGAAAGTCCCCGGGGCCCACTGCAGTCAGGCTCCTGTCCTTCTAGATGACCTGCTTTGCGCCCTCATCCCCGTGGGCCTCTCCTCCTCCCAGTGTCCACTCTGATCTGCGTCAGAGCTTGAACCCCACTCGCAGGAGTCCCCCCGCCCCGCCTCACCCCTTGACCATACAAATGATACTGGCAAGAGCTGCTCCCTCCCACTCCTCCCTGTGTCCCGCATGTTCCTGGCCATCCTTCCCCACCTCCTTCCCCGCGTAGGAAGGGGCTGGCATTGTGGCATAGCGGGTAAAGCCGCCACACGGGTGCCAGTTGGTGTTCTGGCTGCTGCACTTCCAATCCAGCTCCCTGCTGATTGCCGGGAAGAAGCAGCAGAAGACGGCCTGGGTGTTTGAGCCCCTGCACCCACCTGGGAGATCTGGATAAAGCTCCTTGGCTTCAGCCTGGCCCAGCCTGGGCCATTGTGGCCATCTGGGGAGTAAACCAGTGGATGGAAACTCCTCTCTCTCTCTCTCTCTCTCTCTCTCTCTCTCTCTCTTTTTCTCCCTTCCTCCCCCACCCCCTGTAATTCTGAGTTTCAAAATAAATAAATCTTTAAAAAAAAAAAAATTGAAGAGCCCCTGTTTCTGCCCAAGGTCAGCCTCCCCTTGGTGTTCTGTCTGGCTCAAGTGTAGTCCTGTGTCTGTCTCACCGGGTTGGGATGATCTATTTATGTGTTTCTCTTGACGGGCCCAGACTCTGTAATAAGACCTTGAACCAAGGCTGGTTTGTTCATTATACCCAGAGCCTAGGACCCACCTGGGCCCAGGCTCCCAGCTTCAGTGGACGTCTGATGGCCTACACACACTCTGCGTTTCAGTTAGGCTTCTGGTGGCATATTTCACACAAACTTGCTTGCAATTTTAAATTAATAAATAATTTTATTTGAGAGACAGAAATCTCCTGTGCACTGGTTCACTCTCTGAATGCCTTCAACAGCCAGGGCTGGGCCAGACTGAACCTAGGAGCTGGAATGCCAGCCGGGTCTCCCATGTGCTCGAACCATGGTCTGCTGCCACACAGAGCGCACATTAGCAGGGAGCTGGACTTGGAAGGAGATTCGGGGCTTGCCACAGAGGGGATGCAGGCACTCCAATGTGGGATGCAACTTGGGAAGTCCATGCCGTGTCTTCCCCGGGATCTTCCCAAAACCTAATCCTAGAGACTCAGCGCTAAGGCTCAGAGCATGGCTAGTTCTACGAGGTAAATATCACCTCCTGAGGCTCTGCAGTGTCTCACCTGCTGCCCTGGAGCCTGCCTGGGCATTGTGCCCTGGCCCAGCAGAAAATCCATGGAGGACGCCTTCCTCTTTGTCATAATGCCCTTTGTCTTATCTAAAACTATCATGAAGGGGAAGCCATCTGCTCGCCCGGCTAACACCGGAAGATAATCGTCACTACCCGAGTTCTGATGGAAGAGCAGGGGCTGTGGGAGAGCCTTGATATCTCCCTGCTCTCCAAAATGTGAACCAGGGTCCGTCAGTCCAGTGTACGGGGTCCCAGAAGTGTGAAGACTTGCTGCCTGAGGACACACACAGCTTCGTGGCCACACTCAGGCCACATCTGGGCCCCCTGAGCACCACAAAGGTCCTTTCCCAAAGTGCTTTAAAAAAAATCAAAAGTCGGGCTGGCACTGTGGCACAGTGGGTTAAAGCCCTGGCCTGAAGCACTGGCATCCCATGTGTGCGCCGGTTCAAGACCCAGCTACTCCACTTCTGATCCAGCTCTCTGCTACGGTCTGGGAAAGCAGTAGAAGATGGCCCAAGTCCTTGGGCCCCTGCGCCCATGTAGGAGAGCAGGAAGTTTCTGGCTCCTGGCTTCGGATCCGTGCAGCTCCAGCCATTGCAGCCAATTGGGGAATGAACCAGTGATGGAAGACCTCTCTCTCTCTCCCTGCCTCTCCTCCCTCTGTGTAACTCCGACTTGCAAATAAATAAATAAATCTTTAAAAAAAATCACAGATCAGGAGCCAGCATCATGGCCCAGTGGGTTAATCGCCACTTGTGATGTCAGCATCCCATGTCGGAGTGCCTGCTCAAGCTCTCGCTGCTCCACTTCCACTCCAGCTCCCTAGTAATGCACCTAGGAAAGCAGTGGACGATGGCCCAAGTCCTTGGGATCCTGTCACCCATGTGGGAGACCCAGAAGAAGCTCCTGGCTCCTGGCTTTGGCCTGGCTAGACCTGGCTGTTGCAGCCATTTGGGGAGTGAACCAGTGGATGGAGGTAGATGTGTGTGTGTGTGTGTGTATGTGTGAGAGAGAGAGAGAGAGAGAGAGAGACAGAGAGACAAAGAGAGAGAGACAGAGACGGAGAGGGAGTGGGAGAGGGAGGGAGAGACAGACAGAGACAGAGAGGGAGACAGAGAGGGAGACAGAGAGAGAGAGGCTCTATAAAATAAATCTTTCCCAAAATATATAAAATATCTAAAATCAATCTTTCACAAAAATCAAAGTGAGATAAACCCTGGTTGAATGGATTCCATCCACAGTTTCTGAGAACAATTTAGCCATTTCCAAACCAGTGAAGTAGAAGGAATTTCAACTCCTTGAATGCAGCTGGAGGAGCTTAGCACAAAGCATGGAGATTTTCAGCTGGGCAGCGGATGGGCCGGGTCAGGCATGGCTGCCCCGCTGCTGCAGGCTCAGGGCAGACCAGGGCAGAGCCGTGTCCTCTGCTCTCCCAGGCCACAGCCCCGCTTCCCCCCGTGCTCCTCCTGGGGTGAGCATCGGCTGAGCTGAGAGGGCAAAGACAGGGATTTTTTCTGCAAGACCCCAAAACAACCTAATAATTTTATCTCATGTCTGGCCAAAGAACAAGGGCTGTGCCAAGCCCGAGGGAGGGCCAGGCTGGCAGGGAGGGATGTTATCACCCGGTGAGCCATGCTGCATCCTCACATTCTCGTTGATCTGATGAAAACTGACCTGCCACTCACTCCGGGCCTTGACTCAGTCTCCACGAGTGGAAGAATACTGGAGAGTAAATTTGGACAGCATTTTTATTGCTTTTTTATCCTTGCTGGATGGCTCACTTTTGAGTCGTCCTAAATGCAACAGGAAGAAGACCCAGTATATGGAAGGCACTG